GATGTGTGTATGTATATATTTATAAATTTGTATATTTATATTTATATATATATGTATTTATATATATATACATATATATATATAAATGTATATATATATATAAATGTATATATATATATTCTTTATATATATATATGAAAATGTTATACAAATATATTTATTTATATATATATGTCTGTGTGTGTGTATGGATGTGTGTGTGTGTGTGTGTGTGTTTGTGAGCGCGTGTGTTAGTGCATGTGTAACTCTTGAGACTCTTTGACCTTCCATAAGCTTAATATCAAAATCAAAGCTAGATTGTATTGTCAAATGAGTGTCAAATTGTGCTTACCGCATCAGTGCAGAGCAGCATGTATGGATCGGCTGCTATGAGCAATGAGCACACATCCTTTGTGTACTTCGAAGAAAGGAAACCACTCCTCGATCAGATGGATAATCGTGATATAAATCGGATATTTGATCTTCGCACTCCGAAATTAGTAAACCATATGCGTGGACATGACAGCAAATTTGGTTGTTGTTTGCTTGCAACATGGTAACCAATTCATATGTTAAGTTCAGGTTGCAACTGCAGTTCTGGCCTGAGTCATATGCATGTTAAATCAATATACCGGCGAAAAAGGCTGTGCGTGCTGCCTCGCTCACAGAGTAACATCTGTCACTCTATATTCCCAGCTTCAGTGATTTTGACCTCGGTGGTGAGGGGAGTGAAGACGATTTGAGAGAGGATGTTCTGTTCGAGATAGACTCTGATTTGGTAAGTATTATGTACAGCTGACTTCATACAATTACCTGAGTGGTATCCGGACATACATCGCAATTCGACTTGGTAGATCATTGGAACAAAGTTTGTTATATGATGTTCTTGGGAAAGCTGTGAGACCACCTGCTTTGTGCCGGTGAAAAACTATTCGTTGGTAGATAGCTAAATGTCACCTTGGTTATCTCGAAGACACCTCAATGTGTCAAACAGATTTAACATGGCAAACTTACCTTCCGAGACTCATTGATGTTTGTTTCTATCCGGGGAATTTTTTAATGCCCAATTCATTACATCATCGGCCACACGCCCACTTCGACAGGTTAAAAACACTGACGACGACGTGGCGGAGTATTCGCCTGTGCCAACATGGGCGTACTGTATAGCAGCAATCATGCTCGTAGGCGGTATACTTTCGGCGGGTATGCTGATCACCGGCACTGGCTCTGTGCGCGATGCTACGGCCAATCTCATGCATGTACACGAGTATGTGCCACTCAGACTTTTCTATATGTATTGTCTATATCGAAAAGGTGACGATTGAGTATTTCCGTCTGGTTGTTGCTTGAGACATCCTACTGTACAATGTTGATGACGTGGTGTCGTCGGCGGTGTTGTTGGCGTGGTTTTTAGTTTTAGTCCTACCTACAAATAGATAGCGACTAGCACATTACCGTGTTCGTTGTTGTTCTACTATTGTGGTTTTCAGCAACACCTGTCGTTGCATGTTCGTGAGTTTTTGGTAAAATTGCTAATCGCACAATGATTGAGTCACACAGCATAGTTGAACAGATCACTACTTCTTATTCATTATATGCAGCGTTCACAAGACATCCAGCGATGTCGATGCTTCAACATTTACAGATGGGGCGGTCAAGCACGTAGTCTTATTTTTGGGTAAGTGCATCCCATGCATTGAGAATTATTCCGTATATCCCATGCACATTTGAAAGTCATAGTCTGACATGATATAAATTGCGTTTGGGACGGTGATTACGCCGCGCACTAGGCCTACTATTGACTTCACGTTCTTGGTTGTTTATGTTACGGGTCAATCTTCTCTTGAGTGGTCAAATAAAACTTTATGTTTTCGTATAAGTAATACGTTCTACATAATATGCTGTCACCAATGTTATTGCGTTCGAGGGAATCGGCAAGAATCCATGCGTTGCAAAACCAATATCGTATATATTCTGCGATGTTGACTTTAACCTGTATCCTCATGGATATAGGAGACTACAATGATCGGTACGCAGTTAAGGAGTTCTGTGGCAAAGTGATGAAGAGGCGGATGCAGGTGTGTAGACTATTTGCAGTCTGTGTTTTGGACCGTGGACTGTTTCGCACTACGAATCTAAAAATAGCAACCTCATTTACAAGTGCGGGCTTATATATATATATATATATATAGTGCGGGCTTATAAATATATATATATATGTGTGTGTGTGTGTGTATATATATTTATATGTTACAATGCGACATGCTCGAATAATACGATCAAATGTAACCCAATGGTTGTTTTACGCCTGTCTATGATATTGGATTGTAGATCTAGCAGACAGATGTATTTCCCAGTGTAATAATGTTTCAATTTCCGCTTGACCAGCTATGTACAATTATTGACCACCTACAATCTGTATTTACTTTACGCATTCAGAGTCAGAAACACATACAGAAGGCTCTAAAGCGAGAGTATAAAGAGGCTCGAGAGGATATCGTGGACAGTCACAAACAGAGCAGCGCGTATATTCCCGATGTCGATTTCTTGTCTTCTATACAGTATGTGCAACAACTTTGTCAAAGGTATATACGCCGCTAAATAATAGCTGCTTACAGGGTTTCAAAGCCACAGTAAATGAAACCCCAATCCTCTGCACATTCCACCAGAGCCACAGTTTCGAGTATTTCGAAGCTTTTGGTGAGGCACGCGTTTTCAAAGTTCTGAACCGGGTGCTTTTAAATACCTTTCGGTTGATGAAAACATGTCTTGACAATAAGAATTCAATTTTCTGTGAGTTTATCGAGCTAGTTCTCATCTCGCAGATTTTATTGTCAAGTTTTGAATCGTCAGGAATTTAAACCGGGTAAAATTATCAGTGTTAGTATACGTATATATTGCACGAGTAGTGACTGTGCAATAACTGGGACAAAGTTTTTACTATAAAATCAGACAACCCAATCACAGTAGATGCGATCAAACCGCTTACAGCACGAAATAAACATGTTGTCAGAACAGACTTTAAAATTGATGGTTTCTCTTTTTTAGGTTGGACTATTGTGATAATAACTTTGCCGTGATCGCATCGGTGATGAACAAGTACGGGATGTCACCGACGGGCCCTTGGTACGGCTCAAGGGCTGAGAATATGCTCAAACTTCCAGCCCCAAACTCTGCGGCGCAACATTATGCTCTTCTTATTGGCCCTGCGATAAAAGCTCTCGAGGTGGGTGGCTCATGCACAGTACGACAAGAACATAGTCATTATCATTTCTACTACATCTGTTCCTTGCGCCATGTGGACGTTATCAGACCATAGTCATAGTAAACCACACAAGCGAGCGTCCATTCAAAGGGTGAGACATTTTGATCTCTAAACACACTATATATCACTGCACGGTGTGGAGGTCTTCGTAGCGGGATGTATTGCCTTTTGTACTCCACACAGCACATATATGAAGCTTGACACTCACAGAACACTCCTATTCCTTATCGCCACCAGATGCTGACAGGAAATCGCGTAACACACGTGGTAGCATCTTCGAATTACTACGATATTGGGCGCACGTACGTGTGGGAGTCGCATTTTAATGCCGATGAGAACGATTTCTGGTCGCACACGGTCATTCCCCAGTGGAAAGCTCACTGGCAAGGCTTTGTTGACTTTGCGACATCGCTCGTACCCAACGATGAGGTATGCAAACGATGTGACTCGCTATGCTCCACGCAGTAGTACGCACGGATATGATTTATAGTTGGCTATCACTGAGTGCGCAGTCATCAGTTTCTAATATCGCATTGACAATGCATAAGAGCTGTACACTACTACACGTCGTATCATGACACTTCTACGAAGCAAAACAAAAATCTTATTTATTGCGCATCGCATTAAACTTCGAACATCTACGTAGATAGCACATATATAATTCACATTGTCTGAATTTCAATCTCAAAGCTTTGGAGAATAGATGAACATATAATTCGCTGTCGCTTGTAGCTCATTCCAACGCGCTCAGATTCTTATCAGTTCATTGTCTTCAGACTCATTAGTTCATGATTTCATACTATATGCGAAGTACAACGCTAAAGGTTTTTTATCTACGCACCAGATCCTGTGGCACACATCCAACATGCCTCTTTGTCCAGACGAAGCTGCGCCAAACTCTTTCGTGAGCCCATGGCTTGTACAGTGTAAGAGAGTTGATGAACTAAACACGGTATGTAAATTACAGAGTCTACAGTTTTTTGGGACATGCAATCTCATAGAGACCAAAACCGCCAGATCCAGCCAGTCATTTCAACATAGTGATAAACTTGTATAGTGCCAGTGATCAACGGGAGAAAGGGTCCCAGCCAACTGTCACTAATCATGAATTGACAAAATTATCCTTGCCTAACGAATGAGCGTCGTTTCATATTTTGCATTTCAATGCACAGGCTGTGCGACAGACCATCGGCAACAATCCGAGAGTGAAATTGCTTGACTTTGAGGAATCTCTCAAGCTCGTACAGCCGAATGAATATCTATTGAGCGATAAGGAGCATTTGAACCGAAAATTTCTCGCAATTCTGATGCAGAATTGTCTCACAGCCCTGGGCCTGAATATGAGGTTCGGCTAATAGATTCATCTCACTAGTAACTACGAAGCCGATCCATGAGGCAGGAACACTTTTTGCGCCTCTCATCTGTGTGAAGCCAAACACACTAGAATCCAATTGCCAATATATTACTCTCTTTCGAAGTGTATGACGTGAATCATAAGCAAACAACCAACACATAGATCACTGTTGTCGTGGCATCATCTCTATACATAACACGCCTCGCCGAACATCTATGCTATGTACTTTTTTTAAACATAAGGCAACGGGTATACGGATATGATAATTCTGATAACTTCCGGTTCCTTCTAAACAGCTCTTACAATATTATTTAGGATTTCTGTTACGTGTTCGTCACAATCGTTCTCCAAAACGTGTTTTATTCGAACTTGACAGAACAACAAACGATGCCGTATATGTCTGTGTCAAACCCTAAACAGCAGCAAATGCGACGAAATTCACGCTTATACAATGACGGAAACTTACTACAATCAGAGCAGAATGGACATTTACAATTGCGATCGACTACTAGTGTTTAACCATAGGCCAAATGGTTACTCAGAATTTCACATCACAATTCCAACCCAAATCAATTGATTAAATAAAAACACTGTAATAATAGAATAGTACTTCAACAATAAAATGATGAAAAATATCATTTGCCGTGTACTTTTTGACTTTACATATACTTATCTTTTGGTTGCTTCCTCGTAGATCATTGATTGCTATCTGCCTGACTTGTAAATACTTTTCGACAAAAGCCTTTTCATGAGTTTTCGCCCTTTGAATCGACTCTTGAATGCTTTTCTTTCGTCATGAGTTTTCGACCTTTGAATTGACTTGTGAATACTAACATGAGTTTTTCGGTCTTTGAACTTAATTCTCGACCCTTGAACGTTGGGAATACTTGCCAATGCTAATACTTCCGGATTTTGGATTATGAATGATCGAATATTTTGTCTGAAATTGTCGTTGTGAATTCTCGAGAGTTGGATCGCATTTTGAATAGCCTGAGACTTAGAATATCTTCAAATAATAAAGGCAATTTGTATATGAATCTGTTTACGCTGTGTATTCTGGTACAAGTCTTTTTCGACTTAGTATATCTCAAATATGTTCAAGCGATTAGTATATGGTTTTCATAATGTGTTTATTGGTACAAAATGTCTCTAAGACTTTAAGATAGGAGGTATATGATTTTTACACTGTATACTTCGGCACAATTTATGTACTCTCTGATTCTTGTATTCTTTTCATATTGCTTGCCTTTTACCTTTGTGCTTGTATTATTTTCATATTGCTTGCCTTTTACACTTGTGTTTGTATTATCTTCATATTGCTTGCCTTTTACACTTGTGTTTATATTTATATAGCGCTTTTCTATTGTCAATAGACACATAGACTTCACTTTTATAATGGGCGTCCCCAAAAAAGTGGAATGACTATAGCAATTGCAATAGGAGCAATCTGTGCTATATCATCTGAGCATCATCGTATCTGTTTCATTTATATCGAATATACTAAATGTTATTTAATGTACGGCTTGATATATATACACTTGTGTTTACTATACAGTGGTCGCCGATTGTATATGTCTTCTATAGGTCAGACATCTTGCTCATTATTTTGTCTCGAGCGTTTATAAACTTTTTCTGGTCTAAGGGTTTTGTAAGCATATCGCTAAAATTTTCTGTTGTTGGTGTGTATAGAAGTCGGACTTTGCCTGCAACTATCCTTTCGTGTGTGAAGTTATAATGCTTGTGTATGTGGCGTGTGCGCACTGAGGACTTTGAATTCTCACTTATCTTGATCGATGACTTGTTGTCTTGTTCGATGATCGTAGGCTGTGCTTGCGGTAGACCAAATCCTTCAAGTAGGTGCCGTGTCCATACTGCGTCTCGTGTTGTATCTGAGCATGCGACATATTCTGCTTCGCCTGTCGAACGTGCTGCTGTCTTCTGTAAGTTCGTCCCCCATAAAAACGGTCCACCTGCTATCATACCAATCTTTCCTGTAGTAGATTTTGTGTTTTCTGAGTTTGAACAGTAGTCACTGCCAGCTGAAAAAATAGGTGTGAAGGGTATATCCTTACTGTATGTGATGCCCAAATCTCGTGTTCCTGACAAGCATCGTAAAACTCGCTTGGCGGCTCGAAAGTGGCGTTCTATCGATGCGACTAAATGACGTCCCAGTAGGTTCACTGCAAGTGATATGTCCGGTCTCGTGTCATCCGCCACGTATCGTAAGCAACCTACAATGTGTTGATAAGCTTTGATGTCAGTAGGTGTATCTTTGTCCGTAGGAATGTGTAATCGGTTCCAATGCAAGGGACCCAAGATGTATTGAATTCTAGTAAGTCAGATTCTTCAAGTAGATCCATTGTATATTGGCCCTGATGTATGCTGACTTTGCCCGGGGTGTCCAGATTGATTTTGAGTTTGAGAAACCAGCTAAGCTCGCCCATATCTGTAGTGTTCCATTGTGTCTTCATTGCCTGAGTTATTGCATCCGCATTTGCTTTCGATTGACACATCACAATTTTTTCGTCTACATGTACAATTAGTATACATAGTTGTCCGGCTGAAGTTCGTTTGACGAATAAAGCTTTGTCCTCATATAGTGGAATGTAACCATGCTTGATACAGAGCGCCTTGATTTGTTGATACCAGAGCTCGCCGGATTGAGGTAAACCATATAGAGCCTTTGATACTTTGCACACGACAGTCTTGTCTCCTTTTAGTGATCGTATCAGTAATGCCTGTTGAGTAGGAGAAAAATGTTGATTTAGTAGATGATATCCTCTGGGTACACGCATATATACTGGCTCCTCGAGGTCGCTTTTCAGGTAAGCATTCGGTATGTCGTATTGGCGGACGGTCATGTTCGTGTGGGCTAGCAGTGCCATACATAATCGAAATGTATCTTTGTTGACCACTGGGGCATAGCTTCGAGTATAGTCAATTCCTTCAACGGCGGACCAGGCAGACAGTCAATCGGCTCTTCAGTCTGACTACGATGCCTTTGTCGTTCCGTTTCTCAACAAAGACCCATTTCGGACTGAAAATTGTCTTGTCAGGTGGTTTGCTGTCAACCAGGGTGAGTGTTGGCTTGGTGACGACAAGTGCGGTCAACTCTTGATTGATACTGGATAGCCATGAATCTTGATTCGAAAGTTTTGCAATATCTGAATATATTTTGGGTACAGATTTTTCAGGTGTTAGTTTGTGAGTTATTTTCATAGCGGCAACATTTGTATTTTGTTGAGCGTGTGTGGGTGCGGGTAAAGGTATGTATGGAGGTGGTCTGCGTGTAAATGTTTCTTGCAATAGTGCGACCATAAGATATTGCGAGTGATCGTCTATTAATGTCAGGGCATATCGGTTGTTGTCTAAAGTAGGGGGGCTATACGGTCCTATAATATCACTTAGGACTAAATCCAATGGTTCAGAAGAAACTTCGCCTTGTCTTTCGCTGGAAGTAGAACGGCTCCTTTGGTTGGCCCTGGCACATTCGTCGCACTGAGTATGTTGTCTTATACGGGGTAGGATAGGGGGTATGTCGCCAGTGTGTGCGAGACATTGATGCCAAGTGACATAGGCAGAATCTGAAAAATCAAAAAGTTCAAATAAATCGACAATATACATACCAGATGAGTCTTCTTCAATATGTATAACGCGATTCTTCGGTGTAATGATGGCGAGGTGCTTTTCTGAAAATATAAAATGATACCCATGTTCTGTCATCAATCGTACGCTGAGTAATGGAATCGTGAATGTCTCATCCAGCAGGGTTGTTCCGAGATCGAAGAATTCGGCAGAACAAGTTGGTGTAATACAGTCCCCATCAGCAACTTTCACTGTACATGTATTGTTGGCGGTTGTCGGTAAATTTAGCGCGACAGTCTTTCTGAATATGGCAATATATGCTTGGTCGCACATGAATTGACGGCGAGTCAATATCCTCCTGGACCTCTCAATTGGGGCAGTCTTGGGTTGAATTCTGTGTCTACCTGGTTGGCATGAGCGTTCACCATAAAAGCATTTGCTGGTTGTTGTGACCTTGTATGTGTGCTGCTTGGTTTTTGTATATGCGCGTATTTCGACTGTATCCAATTGAAATATTGTTGTTGTTGTGCTGAGGTTCTTTCTGGTCAAATTCAGCTTGCAGTCTTATGAGCAAACTGTCTGCAAGATTGGGATTAGCAGTCTGCAAGATTGGGATTAGCAAGTGCAGAATTGGCGTGTTGTTGTCGGTTTTTTAATCCATAATTTTTGTATCCTCCTCGTCCTCGATTTCCAAATCGTCTGTTGAATTCTCCGCGTTGGTTTTGGTCGGGTGACCAGTATGGCTGAGTCTTCGAGCTGTTACTATTAGAACCGCGGCCTTGTCCTGAATTTTGGAAATTGCCTCGTCCAAAAAATCTTCCTCGACTGTGGTAACCTCTTCGGCCTGTAAATCTCCCTCGGCCTCTCGAATTGAAGTTTTGTCTGAATTGTGGCAATCGACTTGTGACAGTTTCTGTTAGTAGTGGCAGTAAAGGTGGCATCCGAAGTCGATGTTGCATTGGTGTTCAGAATCCGGGCTTCAATTTCCAATGCAGTCTGTTGTACATATGCTAAGGCAGCTCCGTAGCTTAGCACCATAACACTGTCGGTAAGCAGGTGAGTTACTATAGAGATGTAATTTGTATGTAAAGCACCGGTTAAAAATGTGATCTTCTCGGTGTCGTTAAGTACGGTATTCATATTGAAGGCGTCAACAAATTTCGTGTTCAGTCTTAGTATAAACTTATCCATGTTCTCGTTGTCTTGTTGTCGTATTTTCCCAAGTTCTTATCTCATCCGTATGTTGCCTCCTTCTCCGACGTGTCCATAATTTTGGTACAGCATTGTGAACATTTCTTTCGGAGTCATAGTTGCACTCAGAGCAGCTATCATGTCTGGCGATACAGAATCGATTATGTAGAGTTGACCTTCTTCAATTTCTACGCCTTTCCAGACTCGTTCATAATTGGTGTTGGTGTCGATGTGGTCAGAATACAAGTACTTAGGTTTTAGTTGTTTATTTTAGTTATTATAGTTTTTTACAGCTTATCAGTATAATCTGATAAACTTGGTTTTTGCTGACTTTTACAGCACATGACTGATGACTCATTATTAGAGTCATTAATTTTACAATTACTAATAACTCTCCCTCTTTAAGGGGGGAGAAGGTTGCGATACAGTAATTGAAGCGTTCGTTTACCACATTTTTAACTTACCAAGGAAGTTGTGAGTTTTTTAGTAATTAAGAAATAAGCTACGTTATAGTAATTGAATGAAATTTTTTAGTTTTTTTTATAGGAATAAGACGAACAAAGAAAGAAAACGTCGAATTATAATAGTGAAAGTAAGAAGGCATGGCAAAATGACGGAATCTTTCAGAATCTACCCGCGGTAGAAGACGATAGTGGGTACACCAGTAGTGACGCTAGAGCCACAATGCCATCCTTGATGTCAAATAGTAACAGTAAAAAGGAAGAGACGCCGAGACTGAGCGATCAGCACGTTCGATGGGATCAGTAAAGGAAATTTGAGGCGAACAATGGACGCTTCAGGCTAAATCGAATCAGTATGGCCAGACAGCTCTAACGATTTAAGCTCCGGCCTAACCTTACTGGGACTTCAAGATCGAAGGCAGACTTTGACACTAAGACCGAACCCAAGGAGCAACCGAATCAGGAGCAGGCATTAGAAGTTCAAGAAAGAAATGGGCAGGACCAGCAGGGCCAAACGGCCAAGACGAGGGTCCAGCCAGACGATCAGTTAAGTAGAAACGATGGTGAAGAATAGTTTTGTGGTTTTATGTTGTAGAAACAGACAGTATGGGTGTTATTGTAGGCTTGATATTAAGTTAGAACCTTGTTAGAGAAATAGTTGCTAAATAGGAATTGCGTTAGAGAAATGGCACCAGTACACACAGCGTATAAGATCTAAAGGGTAGTGTACATAAACGAAGTTGGGTTTAGAAATAAGAAGGTGGCTCCTACGGTAACGTAGGGCAAGAAGATATAATAATTATAGGAAATACGACCTAACTCTAGGCATAGACAAAGGAGAGAGATAAGTAGTTCACAAAGCCCCATTTTGCAGATATATAGAGGGACTAAACTGTGGTTAGAGCTAAGTATGGACACAAAGAACAGATAGCGTACTCAAATACCGATGAATGCTATGTTATTATAAGAATGGAGCATTCCTCGCGGGTTTACGGGAGATTTTTCCTAAACGAAATCGAGCGCAAAGGGATAAAAGAGTATGTACGCACTTAATTAGCATCCAGGTACATTGACCATCGGGGTCAGCAGTAGAATCATGGAAATAGATAGACTAATGGCACAGTTAGAGAATCACCGCAAATCAATAACCATTTTAGAAGTTACAGTACATAGACAGGTATGATATTCGGTAGAATGGAGAAGTTCTAGGTAGAAATTGTACAAGGCGTAGTAGAAGCCACAGAGGCACTAGGATTTACTTGTCTGAGCAGAACTTCGTGGTAGAGCGGCTCGAAAGAAAGTACTAGGTATGATCTAAAAGCTATTGAGGGGCCGTAGAGCACGAGAGGTCTACAATATGCAGACACATACCGATACCACAACGGCACATGCAGTGGCACGGGGGAGTAAGATTAGCGAAGAAAGGAGAGTAAGGCGAGAGCTGAGGATCTCTCTAAAGAGTAAGGGTTGGTCGCCGAAGAAGGGTGTAACTCCACCAGAAGGGTGGAGTAGCATACAAGGAGTATAGGGTGTACCCCGACGAGTGTTTCGGCGAAGAACATACAACACCATAGTCTGCTGAAGGCATGGGTGGGACTCATGTACTAATTACCACTATGAAAGGGATGTAGTGTGGGGCACGGCATAGACCTGTCCAGGCAAACAGTGTCGAGACTTGTTGAGATGAGAGACGATCTCTAGGGCGGAGGAGTATTTATACCCGACCTATTTCGAGGACGTCTACATACATTTCCAAACCTCCATTGATCCACACAACGTACTATTATGTCCAACCTACGTCAAAGCCGTCGGCAGCAACATCTGACCCCTGAACGTCGGGAGGAAGACGATATAGACCGTCGAGGAACTAAGCGCCGCCAGTCTCTCACGGACTATACCGACCACCGAGCTGAGAAATAACGGATGGAACCACAGGATGGAGCGGTTCATAGCCAAGCAGCGTCCACTGATAGACAGGCATCCAAGACACCCAGGGGTGCTATCGGCCTGCCGCGGGAAGTCGTTGTAATTAACGACGAGGCCAAGGGAAATTCCGACCTGCGTGCGGACAGGGAGCAGTCCATTACTAGTAAGCATGTAGCTAGTGATAGACTGCCTTCCCGTTCGTCTTCGGGTATCTCTAGAGCCTCATCTTCCGGTATCGAGCAACCACGTCTACCACCTAACAAGTGCAGGCGTTACCGCCGTCGTCCCAACAACAAGGGCATGGTGCGGGGCCAGTCGTCGACACAGAAGCTAACCGAGCTTATGGCCCAACAACAGTCGCTCTTAGAGAGGTACGAACAGAGGTTGCAACGTACATCTTCCGAACGACCCACGACCTTGCTGTACGCAAACGAAGCGTCGACTAGTCCACACAAACGGGAGCGTATGGCACAAGGTAGGGAGGACAATCCCACGTTTCGGATCCAAGGCCGTTCACAACAGCACCATGGCCTCGGGTACGAACCACCTGGGTCGGAAGGTCAACTCTCCGAGAAGGAAGATACCTTGTCGTCTCTAGAGGAGGCTCCGTCATTCCAAGAATTCGCACGTGAGCAAGTGTTGGCTCAGCAAAACCCACATGGAAAGGCGCTCAAGAATAGGCAGGACCAGATGAGCACAACCTATCGCCAACATCAACAACGACAGTCGTTCGAGAGGGAAGCCGCCAGTGAGCATGTACGGACTCCCAACAACGTCGCTCACACCTCCACCCACACCGGTGAGTATTGAGAAGAGTCGACAGGTGTTACATGCACGTATACTATACCTGAGCGACGAGTTATGGCAAGTAATAGAGGATAATAATACGGCTCGAGCTGAAGCCCTAAGGGGTGCGATTGAAATACTTTGAGCCACGCTAGAGTCCCATCCAGTAGAAAAGCGTCCAGTACCATCACCACGTACATGGCCCGACTGGCCCTCAAATAGATACCTCCTCCATGACATCATGGAACGGGATACGAGAGGGGCTCTACTGGAGGCTATTAAGAACGCGCAGATTGCAGGGTTAGATGAGAGTTGGAACCTTACATGGTTCCACAAGGTATTATCCTACTTTAAGGCTGAGAAGTCAACATTGGATTACATACGTGACAATTCTGAACGATTGAAGATGTGTACGCCACAACTACAAATCGAACAGATTTGCTCACATGAGACGCAAGCCACTGTTGATCCCGCGCTTCGTAATCTTGCCAAGGGCTACAGTCGAAACATACATACCCCCATCATGGAACAAATGACACAGCTCATGAAGAATCACAGGAGGGCACGTGAACGGTGCCAGACGGATGCAGATTTTCAACAGAATTTATTAAACCATTGCGTTGTTCAACTGTTAGAGGAAGCTCGCAATGGCCGTACGTATGAACGCACTCTACAGTTGCATCCCAAATGGCAATTAATGAAAACGCATGAGCTTCTATAGTTGTTGAGTCCCGACATTCAGGACGCACAGCAGCGCACCACGGCGCGTCTCCAGAACCGTAATAATCGCGAAGGACTACCGGGTAATGGGGCTCGTGACTATACCAATAGCCGCCCTAACCCGCAGACGGTGCCATGACAGTCACAGAACTGGGCACAGCGACCCCAACCGACATTACCTACTACGTGTGCTGGATGCCAAGCACAAGCACCGCCAGGCTCACGTCATATTTCGCGATGTCATCATTTCCGTGCATCGCCACCAGGAGGTACGGACAGCAGGGCGCGACCGTATGACAACAACCGCACATCACGAGACGCACAACCAGCCCATAAACCGTCCGCAGCTCCAAACCCAGGACAGAGACAGCCCAACAACCCGAGCAGAGACGGTCACTACACGCCCGACTCCTCAAGTACAGGTGAACGCGATTATAAACGACGACAGTTTTGTACCACCATCAGCAGCTACAGAGGTACACATTAACACGATACTCAGGGAAGACTTCGAGCACACAACACTGGAACCAGACTAGGACCACGAGGTATGGGAGACTGTTACCGATCGAGCATGAGATGTGAGGGTGTCTGAGTCGGATATGAGCTTCACATTTGTTAATACTATTAGGGATAATATTAATTATTTCAAAAATGGCAAGTATGTATGATACAATGTATGAACATATGGTACGGCTCTTATAGTCGCTGTAGTGGTTCAGGAAAGATTGATGGGAAGAAGTGGTCAGTGAATTCCCGTTTGAAGCTTGGGCCAAGTGAGTCGACAATGGAAGATATGTGCTGAGTCAATTCGGGCCGGTGTTGACAAAACACTGTTACTATCGAATGTTCAATATATTCGCTTGCTGACCTACTAAGTAGAGTACCTACCTCTGTGGTACGGATCGGGTCTGCGCCGTGTAGTGCCGGGAAGTGATGGCGATACAGGACCCATTACTGTCTTCTGATAACCGAGTTTATATTCAAGCGCAAGTTAACGGACGTACGTTCTGTAAAATCAGCGGGTTCCTATAGTAGAAGCACATGATAACGTATATTATAAACGTAATAACGTTTAAACGCTATTACGGTCATGAAACCTGGTATACGTTGAAATGCAATTGTAGATGATTGTATCTGATAATAATCAAATATTCTAATTATAGATATATTAAATTTACAGAAAACAAACAAACAAATAATCTAATTTGGATATTTGGAATTACAATTGTATACGACAGAGGTCGGCGACCCTGTTGATATTGATATGATGGTTTTTCTACACTGATGTGTTTTCCATCAGAATATTGGGATTGACACATGTTGTATCACCAAATACTCTCAGCGCGAGATAGCCAACTGAGAAATGGGGCATAAAAATGAACTCCCCTAGCCGGCCAACTAGATGTGCCCGTCTATGCCTTCAATGGGATGAAGAGCTAGGTACCATGTGATGGGGTATAGGTACAGACATTTAACTGCACCATCATGGTGTTTTTGATTTCTTTTATTTTTCTTAAGTTGGACTTAGAGTTCTTTTATTGGTAATTGCGATTGGAAGGTAATTTCGAGGCATGAAATAGTATAGAAGAAAATATCATGCATCCAATGAAATGAAATCTGATCTTAGTTACTGACACCGAATAAATCTAGACCAAAGTATTGAGTGATTAGAGCGGAGCCATAAAGACAATAGTCTCAGTCTTACATCCCCTAATCTTTAGCTCACTCCCAAGGGCTGAAGCTAAACTTAAAATTACATTGTGCAAATTTACTTTGAAATCTTACTTTTCTTTTACGCTAACTTATCGAAACCGATAGTCAGCCTGGTTAGGGGTAATATTATTTATTTCAAAAATGGCAAGTATGTATGATACAATGTATAAGCATATGGTACGGCTCTCATAGTCGCTGTAGTGGTTCAGGAAAGATTGATGGGAAGAAGTGGTCCGTAAATTCCCGTTTGAAGCTTGGGCCAAGTGAGTTGACAATGGAAGATATGT